CGGGGGGGGGGTAAGGGGAGACTGGGCGTCTAGGAAGGACCAGCCCCCAGGCCATGGACGGCCCTCCTCTCCCGTGTCCTCAGGTGGTGGAAGGGGCGAGGCCACTCCCTGGCCTCTCTTTTATAAGGGCACTAACCCCATTTGCAAGGGCCCCATCCTCATGACCTGATCTCCCCCTAAAGGCCCCACCTCCTCGCACCATCACACTGGGGTTAGGTTGCAACGTGAATGTCGAGGGCCTGGGGCCTGCAGTCTCCAGCCATGGAGCAAAAGGAGACGACAGTAGCACCTGTCCCCGGGGCTGCTCTGAGGTTCAGGGGGCTGCTCTGAGGTTCAGTGAGCTGCTGCACCTGAGTGGCACCTGGCACAGAGTCACAGGTGGGTATGTACCCGCTGCTGTTGTTACTGTTACTTGTCACTCCCACAGCTTCCAGACTCCGTAATGAGAATCATTGATTGCTTTTTAGTATTTAGTATGAGTTAGAGTCCTTGATAGATGACGAAGGCTCGCAGATGTTTGAGTGAAGGTTGAATGGTGCTTGTGCTGTCTTAGAAAAGACACCTGTTCGTAAGGAACCAACTCTGTGGTTGTCAACCGCAGGTCTAGCGTCTCCATCTTACTGTCGAGGACACTACATTGTCCATTATGGAAAGGCTGAATCCCTCCCAGTGTTTGGGCTGAGAGATGTATTTGCCGCCATCACAGCAGTGGCCCACCTCACGGGCGCAGACGTAGTTTCTAGAACTCGTGAAAATTCAAGTGCTCAAGTCCCACGGCATTTCAAATGCACCGGGCGGGTTAGCTGTTCCGAAGAAACCGGGTGAACCTCGTGGACCGAGAATTCTATGGCAACGCGACGAGAAACACCCAAATACAGCCGCTCCAGGAGCCCAGATGTTCCTTATCTTGGGGTGTCCTCCCAGTGAGAGCATCTGGGCCTTCCCCCGGAGCGGAGGAGTAGGCTTTCGGCCGGAAGGGCGAACTCGCCCCATGGCCTCATCCTTGCTGAGCTGTTTGCTTACCGAGTGCGGCCGGGCAGGCATCTGTGTGAGCCAGGTTCTGCTGCGGTGTGTGTGTCTGTTTAATTAAAAAGCTCAGTTTGTGTGGCGTTAACTGTTCTAACGGTGGTAAATATTGACATATGTATACTTCACTCCGAAAGACGGCCCGATGTTCATTTTGGAAGCTTACCAAACTCGGCTTGTGTCATACCAGTCAGTTAACGTTCTTACTCATTTTCTTTTAGACTTGGATCTAAGACCTAAATCTCTTTGCTTCTTCCATCCACCTGTCCGGGCCACTGAGTATAGTTCAGTATTTCCCATGTTTATCTCCTTGGGTGGGCAGGTTTGCAAACATGCTCCTTTGGTTCTGGGAGCGAATGTGCCTTTGTGAGGCCATTGTCTTGCCCGTCTGACGGGTATGAAAGGTTACTGTTTAACCAAGGGATGTCCACGACCCAAGTAAACACACAGCCCAGTGTCCTGTCCAGCCCGCTGAGCGGTCAGGGATACGGAGACAGTGAACACAGAAACCCGTTCTCTTCCACTGTTCACAGAAGATGGGTGTTAGCCTTTTGAGGGTCAGAGCCTAGGTTTAATTTTGACATTTTAAGTAATGTTTTAAGCTTAACACTTACGTGAGAGGGATAGCGGGCCATTAGTTGGAGGCTGTTTGTTTGTTTTTCATTTTTACTGATTTCAGAGAGAAAGGGAGAGGAATGAGAGAGAATCATTGATCGGCTGCTTCCTGCACGCCCCCTGCTAGGGATCGAGCCTACAACCCGGGCATGTGCCCCGACTGGGAATCAAACTGTGACCCCAACCATTGAGCCACACTGGCCTGGCGAGACTGTTTTATTTAAGCAAGAAAATGTTCATCCTAAAGAGTTGTAAAATGTATTTTAAATAAAATCTAATAATATTATATTGAAAATACATTTACTTTAAATTATATATTTTAAAAAAGAGTCGTATAGGAGATTCTTTAATCCAGTTGATGTGAACAGACAGGCATGCTTGAGATTTGGTGTGTGTACCCCTGACAGCCATAGAGATGGTGGGGATTTTACTTAGGGCATTTTAGAGAGAATATGTTTATTATGAGTTTAATGCAAGTCAGACACCCATAAGGCGTCTTGTCAGGCTTCATGTAACTGGAGAGAAACGTCTGCATTTGAAACATGAGCCCAGTAGCACCAAGGTTGGGTTTTCCTGGGGTGAGAGTGGGCAGAGTAAGTCACTAAGGTAGAGGTTCCCGCTTTCCCCAGGGCCCTGCTCCCATTTATTGAACAAATAGAAGCCCCGACAGACCGCGGGGTTCAGACGGTATCGGACTCAGGTCCCTGCCGTTGAGTCTGTTCCTCCTAGTGACGGAGCGAGCCTTCTGTGTGGGGAGCCGTGGCCCGGGAGAGAACACTCCCTCCCCTGCCTGGTAGCTGTG